AATTAATTTGGAGATTTGCTGGCCAGGACACCAGTAAGGCCTCTTGTGAAGCATGGACAGAGTAGCTGGTGGGGCTTTCGGGGTAGGGTTTAGTCGCAGTTGAAGACTGTTAATAATAATAATAATAATAATCCTTACATTTGATATAGTGCTTTTCACGTCGGGAGGACGTCCCAAAGCGCTTCACAGAACACACTGTAAAGTGAATTGACGGTATATTTGTGGGCGAACGCGGCAGCCAATTGCGCACAGCAATGTCCCTCAAACAGTCGTAGATTGAAAATGACCAATTTATTATTGTTTTTGGTTTTGGAGGGATTATTATTACGCTCTGTGTGGAGTAAGGAAACTTGCCCGAGGTTTCGCCCTGACCTGCCTGGGATTGAACTCAGGTCTCTCGCTTGCAAAGCGAGTGCTCTAACCACTGAGCCACAGGTGGTATTGGTTGCCAGTTGAATGCTCGTAGAGTTTAATGCTAAATGAAGAGTGCTGGGTTGAAGAGTGTTTGACACAGTTGAAGGGTGTTGGGTGCAGATAGGTGCCACTTGCTAGGTACTGGGTATCTGATGAAGTCGGAGAGAGCTGTGTGCCTGGTGCAGGGTACTCTGGTTGGGGTTGTGTGCATGGTGCAGCGTGTTATGGATGGAGTTAGGCTCCTGGAGCATTCAACATATCCAGGCTCGAGTACGCTAACTCCCTGCTTGTCAGCCTTCCCAACTCTTTCCTCTACAAGCTGCAGATTATTCAGACCTCTGCAGCTCAAGTCCTCTCCCCCTCTATGACCCTATCACCCTCACCCTTGTCCAGCTTCACTTGCTCGCCATTCCCCAGGGGATATTTAAAATCCACGTCCTCGCCCTCCACGGCTCCGGCTTAATCTATGTCCCCCGCCTGCCCCACCATAGCAGTTGGGCCTTCAGCCTCACTGCCCCCACCTTCAATCACCCTGTATCTCTACCCTGCCTGCCCTCCACTCCTCCTGATCCCAACCCCCAGCTTGGGTCCAGTGCCTTGGGATTTCCTTCTGATGTGAAAGGCGCCATACAAATGTAATTTGTTGTTGGTGCAGGTTGCTGTGGGTCCAGGGTCCTTTGAGTGGAGTTGAGTGCTGCCATTGGAGCTGGGTCCTGTGGTTGGAGCTGGGTGCTGTAGGTGGAGCTGGATGCTGTGGGTGGAGATGGGTGCTACTGGTGGATCTGGGCGCTGCGGGTGGAGCTGGGTGCTGCTGGTGGAGCTGGGTGCTGCGGGTGGAGCTGGGTGCTGCAGGTGGAGCTGGGTGCTGCAGGTGGAGCTGGGTGCTGCGGGTGGAGCTGGGTGCTGCAGGTGGAGCTGGGTGCTGCGGGTGGAGCTGGGTGCTGCAGGTGGAGCTGGGTGCTGTGGGTGGAGCTGGGTGCTGTGGGTGGAGCTGGGTGCTGTGGGTGGACCTGGCTGCTGTGCGTGCTGTGGGTGGAGCTGGGTGCTCTGGGTGGAGCTGAATGCTGTGGGTGTTGTGGGTAAAGCTGGGTGCTGTGGATGAACCTGGGTGCTGTGGGTGGAGCTGGGTGCTGTGGGTGCTGTGGGTGGAGCTGGGTGCTGTGGGTGGAGCTGGGTGCTGTGGGTGAACCTGGGTGCTGTGGGTGGAGCTGGGTGCTGTGGGTGAACCTGGGTGCTGTGGGTGGAGCTGGGTGCTGTGGGTGGAGCTGGGTGCTGTGGGTGAACCTGGGTGCTGTGGGTGGAGCTGGGTGCTGTGGGTGGAGCTGGGTGCTGTGGGTGAACCTGGGTGCTGTGGGTGGAGCTGGGTGCTGCAGGTGAAGCTGGGTGCTGTGGGTGGAGCTGGGTGCTGTGGGTGGAGTTGGGTGCTGTGGGTGGAGTTGGGTGCTGTGGGTGGAGCTGGGTGCTGTGGGTGAACCTGCGTGCTGTGGGTGGAGCTGGATGCTGTGGGTGCTGTAGTGGAGCTGGTTGCTTGGATGGAGCTGGGTGCTCTGGGTGGAGCTGGGTGCTGTGGGTGGAGCTGGATGCTGCAAGTGGAGTTGGGAGCTGCGGGTAGAGCTGGGAGCTGTGGGTTCTGTGGGTGGACTTCGATGCTGTGGGTGTTGTGGGTGGAGCTGGGTACTGTGGGTGGAGCTGGGTGCTGTGGGTGAACCTGGGTGCTGTGGGTGGAGCTGGGTGCTGTGGGTGGAGCTGGGTGCTTGGATGGAGATGGGTGCTGTGGGTGGAGTTGGGTGCTGTGGGTGGAGCTGGGTGCTGTGGGTGAACCTGGGTGCTGTGGGTGGAGCTGGGTGCTGTGGGTGGAGCTGGGTGCTTGGATGGAGATGGGTGCTGTGGGTGGAGTTGGGTGCTGTGGGTGGAGCTGGGTGCTGTGGGTGAACCTGCGTGCTGTGGGTGGAGCTGGATGCTGTGGGTGCTGTAGTGGAGCTGGTTGCTTGGATGGAGCTGGGTGCAGTGGGCGGAGCTGGATACTGTGGGTGAACCTGCGTGCTGTGGGTGGAGCTGGATGCTGTGGGTGCTGTAGTGGAGCTGGTTGCTTGGATGGAGCTGGGTGCTGTGGGTGGAGCTGGGTGCTGTGGGTGAACCTGCGTGCTGTGGGTGGAGCTGGATGCTGTGGGTGCTGTAGTGGAGCTGGTTGCTTGGATGGAGCTGGGTGCTGTGGGTGGAGCTGGGTGCTGTGGGTGAACCTGCGTGCTGTGGGTGGAGCTGGGTGCTGTGGGTGGAGCTGGATGCTGCAAGTGGAGTTGGGAGCTGCGGGTAGAGCTGGGAGCTGTGGGTTCTGTGGGTGGACTTCGATGCTGTGGGTGTTGTGGGTGGAGCTGGGTACTGTGGGTGGAGCTGGGTGTTGTGGATGGAGCTGGGTGTTGTGGATGGAGCTGGGTGTTGTGGATGGAGCTGGGTGTTGTGGATGGAGCTGGGTGCTTTGGGTGGAGCTGGATGCTGCGGGTGGAGCTGGATTCTGTGGGTGCTGTGGGTGGAGCTGGGTGCTGTGGGTGGAGCTGGGTGCAGTGGGCGGAGCTGGATACTGTGGGTGGAGCTGGGTGCTGTGGGTGGAGCTGGATGCTGTGGGTGCTGTGGGTGGAGCTGGTTGCTTGGATGGAGCTGGGTGCTGTGGGTGGAGCTGGGTGCTGTGGGTGCTGTAGTGGAGCTGGTTGCTTGGATGGAGCTGGGTGCTGTGGGTGCTGTAGTGGAGCTGGGTGCTGTGGGTGCTGTAGTGGAGCTGGTTGCTTGGATGGAGCTGGGTGCTGTGGCTTGAGCTGGGAGCTGTGGATTCTGTGGGTGGCCTTCGATGCTGTGGGTGCTGTGTGTGCAACTGGGTGCTGTGGGTGGAGCTGGGTGTGGGGGCTGTGGGTGCTGTGGGTGTGGGGGCTGTGTGTGCTGTGGGTGTGGGGGCTGTGGGTGCTGGTGCTGTGGGTGTGGGGGCTGTAGGTGTGGGGGCTGTGGGTGTGGGTGGGGCTGTGGGTGGGTGCTGTGGGTGTGGGGGTGGGGGCTGTGGGTGTGGGGGGTGTGGGTGTGGGTGCTGTGGGTGGGGCTGTGGCTGTGGGTGGGGCTGTGGGTGTGGGTGCTGTGGGTGGGGCTGTGAGTGTGGGGGTGTGGTTGGGGCTGTGGGTGTGGGGGCTGTGGGTGTGGGGGGGTGTGGGTGTGGAGGATGTGGGTGGGGCTGTGGGTGAGGGCTGTGGGTGGGGGTGTGGGGGGTGTGAGGGCTGTGGCTGTGGGTGGGGCTGTGGGGGTGAGGGCTGTGGGTGGGGCTGTGGCTGTGGGTGGGGTGTGGCTGTGGGTGAGGGCTGTGGGTGTGGGGGGTGTGAGGGCTATGGCTGTGGGTGGGGCTGTGGGGGTGAGGGCTGTGGGTGGGGCTGTGGCTGTGGGGGGTGGCTGTGGGTGTGGGTGGTGGCTGTGGGTGAGGGCTGTGGGTGGGTGGGTGGGTGTGGGTGGGGGGTGACGGCTGTGGCTGTGGCTGTGGGGGGTGTGGCTGTGGGTGAGGGGTGTGGCTGTGGGTGGGGCTGTGGGGTGTGGCTGTGGGTGGGGCTGTGGGGGTGAGGGCTGTGGCTGTGGGTGTGGGGGGTGTGGCTGTGGGCTGTGGGTGTGGGGGGGGTGAGGGCTGTGGGTGAGGGCTGTGGGTGTGGGTGAGGGCTGTGGGTGTGGGTGTGGGTGTGAGGGCTGTGGGTGAGGGCTGTGGGTGTGGGCTGTGGCTGTGGGTGTGGGTGTGAGGGCTGTGGGTGTGGGGGTGTGAGGCTGTGGGGGTGAGGCTGTGGGTGGGGGGTGTGGCTGTGGGTGGGGGGTGTGGCTGTGGGGGGGGTGTCGGTGGCTGTGGGGGGTGAGGCTGTGGGTGGGGGTGTGGCTGTGGGGGGTGAGGCTGTGGGTGGGGGGTGTGGCTGTGGGGGTGAGGCTGTGGGTGGGGGGTGTGGCTGTGGGTGGGGGGTGTGGCTGTGGGGGGGGTGTCTGTGGGTGGGGGGGTGGCTGTGGGGGGTGTGAGGGGTGTGGGTGTGGGGGGTGTGGGTGGGGCTGTGGGTGTGAGGGCTGTGGGTGTGGGTGGGGCTGTGGGTGGAGCTGTGGGTGTGGGTGAGGGGTGTGGGGGGGGTGAGGGCTGTGGGGGGTGTGAGGGCTGTGGGTGGGGCTGTGGGTGTGGGTGGGGCTGTGGGTGGGGGCTGTGGCTGTGGGGGGTGTGAGGGGTGTGGGTGGGGCTGTGGGTGAGGGGTGTGGGTGTGGCTGTGGGGGGGGGGGGGTGGGGGGGGTGTGGCTGTGGGGGGTGTGAGGGGTGTGGGTGGGGCTGTGGCTGTGGGTGTGGGTGGGGCTGTGGGTGTGAGGGCTGTGGGTGAGGGGTGTGGCTGTGGGGGGTGTGAGGGCTGTGGGTGTGGGGGGTGTGAGGGCTGTGGGAGGAGCTGTGGGGACAGTGCGCGCGCCGGAGTGACCGATGCATCGAAGAAGGAATGGCGAAAGTAGTGCCGGGCGGGTCGGGGGGGGGGAGTGCAGTGCAGGCGCGCGGCGGCACATTACCAGCGAAAGGGGGCGTGGCCCGGTGATTGGGTCGGCAGCCTTCCTGACGCCAAGCGGAGGGAGCCGGTCAGATGGAGGACGGGTGGCGGCCGGGACTCAGTGCCGTGTTGCTCGCGCTCAGTTTGGCGGTTGGTTAGTCGTTGGCGCCGCTCGAGAGCGAGAGAGAGAGAGTGAGTGAGTGAGAGAGAGAACCGCCGCCAGTCCCGGGTCGCAGGTCAGTCTCCCTCTCCCTGTGTTGCTGGACTGTCAAACACTTCACAAACTCCGGGGAAAGAGAGAGGGAGGGAGAGAGGGAGTTGGTGGGGAGGCGGAGAGCGCCGCCGCCGCGGCGGTGTTTGTGATTTGGTGGAAAAGTCCGGGTGTTGAGGAACATGGCGCCCCGGGGTAGGTCCGGGCAGCTCGAGCGCTTGCGGCCAAAAGTCGGGGGTCGGTCGTCCTCCTGCAGGAGGCGGCGTCCACCCGGGACGGCCCCCGGGGGGGGAATCAAAATTGTCGTTTTTAAAAAAAAAAAGTCACGATCGTCCGGCGAGGGAACGGCTCGGGATCGTCCGGGACTGTGAGCGAGAGTCGCTGTTGTTGTTGTTATTGTAAAAGTCGGGAGAGTCCGGTGTGTGTGTGTGTGTGTGTGGGGGGGGGGGGGGGGGTGGTTGGTTGGTTGGTGGTGGAGTAGTTTAATGGTGACGGCGGGGAGTGCAGTACACGGCCACCGGGATCTGCTCTCCGAAAGCTCTCTCTCTCTCTCGCTCGGTCCGTCCCTGTTGTGATTTTTTTTTTAAAAAAGATTTTTTTTTCCCCCCCAAAAAAGTTTTTTTTTTGGTGTGGGTGGGGGGGCGAGGAGGAGGAGGAGGAGGTGGTGGTGGCGGCGGGGAAGGACCATCAGTTTGCCTGTGTGTGTGTGTGTGGTGTTTGGAGGAGTGGGGTGGAGGGGGAGGTGAGAGAATCAGTGTGATTTTTGAGGGGAAGGAGCCGAGCCGGCGTTGCTGTGTGTGTGTGTGTGTATGCATACATGTGTGTGTGTGTATGCATACGTGTGTGTGTGTGTATGCATACATGTGTGTGTATACATGTGTGTGTGTCCGGCTGTTTGGCGGTGCGCGGCTGTTCTGGTTCTCCTGCTTTTTAAACTCGACGGAGAAGTTGCGGCTTTTTGTTGCTAATGTTCCCCCCCCCCCCCCCCGCTCTCCTCTCCTCTTCCCGAGCTGCTGCCGAGGGTTTCGCACAGCGATCGGGTTGTACAAGTTGTGCATTTGTCTGTCCCGTGTATTTCGGGTACTTTCTCTCTCTCTTTCTCTCTCTCTCTCTCTCTCCCTCCTTCTCTCTTTCTCTTTTGAAAACCAAACAAAGCTGTAAATAGCAGCTGCACGTCGAGTGAAGAATGGCGAAGTTTTTGTGGACGTGACTTTTGTTTTTCAAATCACCCCCCACCCACACACACACACACACAAAAAAAAATCCGGGCAAAAAGAAAAGAGGTCTTGTGAGAACCTTTCCTCCATCTTCCTGCTTCTATTTCCATTTCACGGAAATGGAAATAGAAGCAGCGGCCGAAATACACAAAAGGCGAAGATGTAAAACTTAAGTTCTCAAGTTAGGATCTTTCCTCAAGTGAGGGGTGGGAAGGGGAAAAGGAAGAGAAACGACTTGTACATTTAGTTTTTTGGGAGGGAATATATAGTTGCATTATTTAACGTATAGCTATAATCTGTAAAAAAAAATCTCCTGAGAATTTAAACGGTTTGCAGGTTGTTTTTTAAATTGAAATCATGTATAAGAAATTACAGATTTCTACTGATGGGGAAAGAAGATGTCACTCTTCACTGCGAAGCTGACTTGCAAAGAAATTGGGTGAAATTTTCTGTACCGTTTTGTTGTAAATTGTAAATCTATTTATAACTAACTAGTTGAATGTTACTGGCCCCTTTTTGGCTCACTTCAGCGTGGATTACATTGATATTTGGAGGGTAAAATGTAGCACATTTGTATGTATGTTTTAAAGATTGTTTTTTCTGCTGGTGGACTGGTGCACCCTGCTTGGCACTTTGACAGGAAATCTGTTCATGGCACGGATTAAGTTACCAAAAGGACAAGAAATTTGTCCTTGTACTGAATTTTTTTGTTTACATTGTGAGTATCCTCTTCCTATTAACATCTTCAAACATTTAATGTTATCCTTTAATCAGTCTTCTGATGAAATGTCATCAAAGGGGCTGCAGTTTAATTTTTTTGATTTACAAATCTACTTATTTTATTATGGTCAAGTGTCATTTATAAATCGTGCGCTGTATAGTGCATTTACATTCACAGGCAGATGGATCAAACTTCCAAGTATTATTACTTCATAGTAAAAATGTCCCCATTTAGAAAATAATGGTAGAAATTGGAGCTTTCCCTTTGAGGGGGCTGTTGAATATAATTTTGCTAAATGTGTTTTGGTTATCTTTAATTTTCGTCTAGAATTTTAGGAGTGCATTGTATATGTATGTTCTCTGCAAGAATATCTATGTGGTGTACTAGTTAACAGAGAATGGCCCTTGAGGAAAATAGCCTACAGTGGTACATACAAGGGGAAGCTACCTTTTCCATGAATACTCTCTTTAAAAGCAACGTTTCTAAACAATCTTGTATGAATGCTTTAAAAGCTATTCAGTAGAAGGATTGCCATTCCCTTTGCAATATATATATATTATATATGTAATATTTATTATATACATGCATGCTGATTTATAAAATAAAGTAAATCTATTTAATACTGATTGTTATAATGATATAATAATTGCTGCATTTGATATAATACCTTAGCATGTTGTTGAGATGTCTTAAAGTACTTCACAGGATTTTATTGTAAAGTGTAGCGAGTGTGTATTTATAGACTAACACTGGAGCCAATTTGCTTCAGCCGTTGGCCCCAAAACAGCCATAATGTGAATAACCAATTTTATATAGTAGATGGTTGGCCAGAATACTGGGAGAAATTCCTTTTTCTTTTCAAATAGTACCATCTTTTAACATCCACCTTCAGCAGATGGGACCTTGGTTTAACTTCTCATCTGAAGGACAGCGCCTCTGCCAACATGCACCCCCCCCCCCAAAGTTCACTGGAGTCTTCACTTGTTTCATGTGTTAAAAAACTGCCGTTTTTTTTGTGTATGTTTTCCAAACTTTGCCTCTTTGTTCCGTTTCCCCAACAAAAAGCACATTGGCCATCATCCAACTAGGATGGTAGTATAGTATAGTCTGGATTTGTTTTGCAAATCAGATGTTGTAATAACTTGCATTTATATAGCTACATTCACATAAGATTAAAGTGCTTTACAAAATATAATTGATTAGAAATGAAGTGAATTTTGTTATAGGCAAACGTGGAGGCTAAACTGTGCATGCAACGTCCCATAAACAATAATGAGGAGAGCAGCCAATCACTTTAAATTTGGTGGAAATTCACATTAGGAAGGTAATATAAACCTGATAACCGAGAGAAAGACTCCATATATTACAGTCCCTTGGGCCAGTTGAAGCCGTGCTCTCTTTATGGCCTTTGTTGTCCTTCAGTTCGGGTTGAAGTGACACTCTCGGATACGAGGGTTGTAAACTTCATTCTGTGGGATCCAGTAAATTGGCTTTAAAACGAGGATGCTTGGATTCTGAATAATTACTGATTGGTTGGTAGAAGTTGTTAAGCAAGGTGAGTTGTATAATTTTTCCATCCCCAAGCCCAATCTGGTGAATTTGAAATTGGAAACCTTCATTATACATTGCAATCCATTTAGTCAGCTGGCTGTGAACTAGCTCGGCAGAAGAAAGTGTAAATGACTGGCAAGGCTTAGACAGAAAGTCAGAACTTGCTTGGTAGTCAAGTGTTAATATTGTATTTTGCCTTCAATAGAAGTGCTCTATGACTCACCTTTTCTATTCCTTGTGTTGAGCAATTGTTTTAGGAGATTGCCCTTATTAATGGGAAAATTTTTGTTCTCAGTTAAAAGTGTTGAAGAAGCTCTTTGGGTAAGAGGAAAATATTGGGCTTCCTGTTCTATGCAAGCACATCAAATGCCAGTGGATCATCCAGTATTGTTAGTAGCCACGGAGGCATCCTACCTCAGTACCTCAACTGAAGGACTGTAGGGTAATGGGAAAGCAAAAGTGATGGTTTCACCCATCTTTCCTCATTCGTTCTCTTTTATGCCCCCTGCATCACATTTGTATGCTAAACATACACCAGAGCACACTGCAATTGACCGACGGTAAGGTCTCTGCAAAGTATGCTTCAGAAAAAGTAGTGTCAGTCCTGGAATTCAAGAGATGGTGGTGGATATGTTGAGAATTAGTCTGTTTCACACAAATGGAGGAAAAGCTTGCCCAGCGAAAATGAAACTCCTATTGTCTACATGGTGTAGTTGGTTCACTCTTAAGTAGGAAGTGTTGGTAAGTGTCCTCCCAATGTGAAGGGTGTTATACCAAATGTAAGGATCTTTGTACATTTTTTTCTTTCTCTTAAGTTCAACTTTTTTTTAAAAATCCCTTTGCTTTTTTTTCTTGAATGTCTTTCTCGCACTCAATATATTTGCTTGTTTAATCTGTTCTTTAATTTTCTCTTGCACCTTCTATCCTAAACGGGAGACCATAATTACTGCTTTTGTTATATTTCTGCCCTAAATACACTTTCAATGTGAGTGTCTTCTGTTGATTAATTGGTAAAGTTAGAGGCTGAACTTGCCTTTAGTTCAAACCCTTGGGACCTGACATGCCAATGTATTTTTGGGGCAATGCTGTACTGTTGGAGATACCATCCTTTCGGTGAGATGTTAAATTGACATCCTGTCTACCTATTCAGATGGATATTAAAGATTAAATATTGAAAAGAGAATTTCTGCATTTCTACCAAAAATAGTGAAAGCACTTTCCAGTGTATCCTGTGAAGCGGTTTGAGACGTCTCAACGAAGTGATAAGGCGGTATAACCAAATTATTATTATTACACAGACACTACACTACAGGAAAGTCCTTTGAACAGCTTTGAGAGTTTGGTAGCACAATAAGATACTATATAAAATGCAAGGGTTACTATTGTGTTCAGTCACTTTAAAATCATTCCATACTTGTTGCTTATATGAAACCTCTTAGCCTGTCGTAATAACTGTTGAATGGATCCTTCATCTGGGAGCATTAAACATTTTGGAAATAACTATCTTCTTAATAGGCAAAAGCAGGAGCTGAGATA